ACGTGAACCTGGCCCGTAAATTTCAATTTGCGAACAGTGGTGCCGCTGAGGCCCTGACTCCATGCGAGGACCTTCGGCGCCAGACTTCGCGATGGCGCTGTGGCGGCAGACAAATTTGAACTTCGCGCGATGAAAATTAGTCTTTCCGAGGATTTACCGTCTCCGTTTCAGCACCAACTTCACATTCACTATGAACTCAAAAAATCTTCGTCGTTTCCGTTTGAGCATTGCCGCAAGGTCACACAGCTGTAAGGTTCACAAGCCGTCCACAGCTCACACTTTCGCTGCTTCCAAAATTGATGCGACTTCTGCTTTCAGATTCAATTCATCCTTCCACAACGGTGTTGGCATCCCATGACAAGATTTTGTCCGATCGAATCACCAGTCACGCACCCCACCAAAACAACAATCCAAGAGTATTATTCAAGGGCATGCGCTTTTTTCTCCAAAAACGATCCGCTTAACTTTCCATCACTAGGAGAAAGTCTATGACACACGTGATTTGGCCTGTTTAGCAACACAGCTGCTCCGATTCGAGGGTCGAAAGTCACAAACTAGTTAGAAAGAAACCACGATGGGTCAGACTGTACAAATCTCGGCAGGCGCAACATCGTCGTCTGCTGGTATCAGGTGCTGGCCGGGCAGCAGTTGTCGGAGACGAAAGGGGCGTACAAGAGCAAAATTATCGGTCGCAATGGACCACTTGTCGACAGCTCCAGATTCCACAAGTCTGCACCAAAAAAACCCACGAATGCAGAAGACGATGCAGACGGTCTTGGAATGAAGTCAACGCAGTTCCAGTCAAAAGGTTCTGGCCAAACCCCCATCCAAGGATGCTCAGTTTGGCTATGGATGACATATTGGAACGCTAAACGACTCAGTGCAAACACTTGGTTCGGCATGAGGCACACACAGAGGAACTCAAGACTGCAAAAACCTGTGTAGTTACTGCAGTGCCAGGATTAGAGCCACGTGTGCTCACATGATTTCCGCAATAGACTAAACAAAAGTTGGAGCACAATGCAAGTCCTGTTGAAATCGTCCCGGTGGAGTGATCGTGTCCGTGCACAAGGGGCCTCCACAGTTGCTGCAATGTGTAAGAATCAGCGTGCGCATGCAACAAGCTTGAACCTGCCTTTTAGCTGCAATCAGTCCCAAGCCCCCTTTAGCCTCATACAAGCACACGGCCCCTCTCCCCCCCACCTCCCAGTCAAAAACAACAAAAACAGAAGACTAAAGTTCGAAGTGAGCCGGCCGCAGCCTGCAAACGGATCGGGGAGCGAGGGGGGAGGGAGGGAGGGAGGGAGGGAGGGATTGAGCAACGCTAGCAGTGTTTTCGTTTTCTTCGACAGTATAACGAGAAACAGTATAACAAGACAAATGGACTTCAAAAGCATATACATGCACATATCAAGAGCATAAGTCTAGATGAAGCCGTGGTTTCGAGTTCATCGCACGCTTCAAACTTGGAACCAGGACATGCTGTGAACGTCGTCATGGGAAACCCTTCGATGTGAGCATCATCTGAAACTGCGCTGCGAAATGATGATATGTGCGCAGATTCTTCCCGTAAGCATGCCACAATTCACAGCCTCTACAGAGGCACCTGATGCAGCTGGACGTGCTTCATGTCAGATCTTCATTCAGAATCCACAGGGCTCTCAGCATCAATCATCAGATCCCGAATCAGAAGCAGGCACCTAGAGCAAGACGCAGAATGATTGTGGACTGTGGGTCGACTCAGTCTGGCCTGCGCAGGCTCTAAATGCCCTTTCGCCGGAATCAAGAAGTCCTGCCTGGTTCACGGGAGTCATGTGAGAATCCCTCTAGATCTCAAAGGATCGTAAACGGCAAGTGCCTGACAGTTGCAGGGTCGCAAAGGATTCAGTAGATGCATGTGCCACGTCAGACTCTTCATGCAGCCGAACCGGAGGTTTGATTCAAGAATCATGGCGTAGATAGGTGAGTATTCAGCTTCCACCTCTCACGGAACACTTGCTGTGCCAAATTCCAAACACTCCACCTTAAAACCCAAAGCAGGGGCACTGCAAATCCATTCAAAACAAGTACGTGTCAAAAGCGTGGTGATGGTATGGGCACCTCAGTGCCAATCGAGATCCTTGCATGCTACGTGGCATTGCGGCGGACTTCAGCCGGTGCAGAGTCTGCTGTGGTGACGGTGAGAATCCTCTTTGCTGCAAGAGCCGCCGAAGAAGTGCAAGAACCTTCTTAAGGATGGAGTGTAGCAACCCTCCGATCCCTGCAAATTGATCTCACTGGCTGCATTGAGCCCACCAGAATTAGCTCTGTCGAGAGCCGCGCCTCCCAGCAAGGCGCCTCGATGCGCCTCGGCACCGTGGCAGGACAAACACTTTCTTGTCAGAGGGTCTGGTCTCTATTTCCGGTGCGGTGCCCTGCTGTCTGAAACTTCCACAAGTGGATATGGGTTAAAGGTACCAGGAATGCCTGAGGCATGCACTGGGTGCTCAAGCAGTGCCCGGCGCTTTTGAAAGTCTGGAGGCTTTGCTAGCCCTCCAGATAATAGCCGAATGCATGCGGCTGCTTTCTTCGGCGTGCGTCGATGTTTCTGTTAGAGCATGCAGTCCCACGGTTTGGGAAAGCAAATTCGTCTGTACAGCGCATGTGGCCGAGCAACATGTTGCTCAGTCCGGCAGGTGCACTTTCGTACTCTTCAAGACACATGAAGCTGATACACCCACTTCTGTTGGGTTCACTGTCTTTTGGTGAGTGTTTGGGAAGTGTAGGAAGCTGTGTTGGCTGCCGAAGGTGACCTTGCTTGTACTAAGTAACGTGTACTACTCTACGCGCAGGAAAAACATTGATTCGGTGGCATCAGGGTGCAACTCTCTCGTGGCTTCGGAGGTTGGCACAGCTGCGACTGTTACACTCACATCTGGACTCTCTTCCACGTCAGCTTGTGCAGTGTCCTGAAGTGTCTGGAAAACAGAGCGAAAATCACTCCAGACAGGGGGTGCCTGCGGCGTGCACTGGGTTCTCAAGCAGTGCCCGGCGCTTTTGAAAGTCTGGAGGCTTTGCTAGCCCTCCAGATAATGGCCGAATGCATGCGGCTGCTTTCTTCGGCGTGCGTCGACGTTGCTGTTACAGCATGCAGTCCCACGGTTTGGGAAAGCAAATTCGTCTGTACAGCGCATGTGGCCGAGCAACATGTTGCTCAGTCGGGCAGGTGCACTTTCGCATTCTTCAAGACACATGGAGCTGATACACCCACTTCTGTTGGGTTCACTGTTCTTTTTTGAGTGTTTGGGAAGTGTAGGAAGCTGCGTTGGCTGCCGAAGGTGACCTTGCTTGTACTAAGTAACGTGTACTACTCTACGTGCAGGTAAAACATTGATTCTCGAACACCTCTCCAGACGCTTCGGGAATTGGCGACTGTTACAGTCACAGCTCTTCGTCGTCAGCATATGCAACGATTCGCTGTGCTGTCCTGCATGGGCACTGGGGCCTCCGACACCGTCACGTCCATCGCGTCTTGGGAAAGCAAGCCATGAGCTACATGTGGTCCGCTTGCCAGGGTCTGGGAGGAGCTTGCAACCTCATCGTTGTGACAAACTGGCACTGCGGAGAGGGTCGTGGCATCGTCAGCCACATCTTCTTCGAAGATTGCCGCCCCGCCGTCATGCGGATTTGGAAGTGCTTCTTCTCCTTCCGCAGAAACTTCCAAAACCACCTCCGCTGTGGCAGAAGCAGCAGCAATGTTGCGCAATTCTTGCAGAACGGACTTTAGCGTCCTAACCTGACTGCAGCGCAACCACACGCTCTGCAGGCAAGAACGATGCTCGGAGCGCAGCTGTGCAGGGCGGCTATGGCAAATCTGTTTGAAGTCTTGCTCCCCATGGTTCTGCAAAGCAACAAGACAACCATATGCGAACCCCAGCCCCCCGGCACCTTCGCGTCAGCAAAGTTGTCGCCTCTGGTTCCAAGGACTTCGGGGCGAATGGCATCTTCTTCCGAGTGCGGAAGGGGCTGAACGCGGCCGTCAAAGTTCTCGAACCGAGCTTCCAGGTAGCATGCTTGTGCTGCATAGCCTGCGGCGGGTTCTATAAATTGAAGAGGTTCCTTTAAGGATCCTTCTTATGGGGGCGATTGTACCAGATCGGGTCTGAACCTCATGGAAAACTAGAAGCTGAACTCAGACTTTGAGCCTCCCACACTTTTTCAAGGCGCAGGAGTCTGGTTCCAGCAAGGGAGCTCATTACTCATTACTATCGAAACTACGCACCTCCAAACTACCATCCGCTTCTCTCAAGCCAGTAGAACAAACGTGATTTTTTAAAGACCCGACGCCTGACGAACTCAATCAAGAGACTGCTGATCCCCCCCCGATTACCCCAAGACGGAAGCATCCCATGTTACAAACTACGGCGGGTTTTGGTGGGCAGCTTCAGCCCTTGAGCCTCCGACCCCACTTCTCCAGGTTGCCGGAATCCTCAAGTCTAGGAGTCTAGGACGGGCAGCTCCGAAACTACGCACCTTCAAACAAGCATCGCTTTCTCTCAGGCCAGCAACACAAATCTGTATATATATATATATATATAGCCATCCACGACCCACACCTACGGAGCGAAGGAACTCCTGCTGATTCCCGCCTAAAACGTAGCAAAAGAAACGGGAGCTTCGATGGCCTGCCTGAAAACTGGTATGTGCTCAGCAAGATGCTGCAGAACTGGACCAGCATTTGCGATGCCTTGCATATCCGAACATGGACGGATGTCAAAAGCAGATCTTGGGCTGAGGCATCGTCACTGAGTTACCAGAAACCAGATTAAGCTTCTTGCATGCCCTAGATGCTGTATTGACGGCCCAGAAGAATGCATAGGCTGTGACACAGGCGCAGAACAAGGCTTCAGATCGCTTTTCTTCCTGAGGCCACCAACAACAACCCATGAGGATAAAGAGCCTAAGCTTACTAACACATCCTCTACAGCTGACGGCTCTTGTTCGCGAAGCTATGTAAGGAGTCAAATCTCCTCCAGGAAGTCCAAGATGTCTTGCCGCGGAATGCCGCGCTCTGCGCTGGCTGTGACAGCCTGCTGCAGAATGCAAATGGGTCGACCTATGTAAGTTATTGGAGCTGTGATGCTAGTCTCTGTGCTTGGCTCAAAATCAAGTGCAACACATTCATGACTGCATGCACATCACAAAAGCCCAGCAGCAAAAGGTCAACGATACCAAGTGCGAGCTTGCAGCCTCCGTAATTAGAATGCTTTTGCTGCCCCACGGTAATCTTCAAGCTGATACGTCTTAATTTGCCCCAGAACCTGGCAAGTACATTTACAATGACAACGAGGCCTGGCGGAGACGCCACAAGGGAAGGACGCACAGCTGCTTCAGGGTGCTCCGCACCACAATGAATATCAGAACGGCAGCGAAGAAGTAGTCCCGTGACAGGAGAAAAGTCCCAACGGTGTTGACATCCAGGCCCACATCTAGCATCACCACTGCAACACTCAACCACAGTCCGCCTCCCTGCCAAGGCCAAGCAAGCGCCACAACTGGCTTGATTTTCGAATGAACCTCAACGAATTGCTCCGGCGACTGCTCCAAGAGATCCTTCACAGCCTGCAGAGCTACTTCTTGAAGGTCTTCAGGCTCTGGATCCCCTCGGCCACCAGGGAGTCGCTTCGCGCAGCCCATGACGACGACAAGCGCCAACCACACCACATAAGACAGGACGACCACCAGGCTGAAAAAATATAGGCACATGAAAAGCTCTGCGGCGCTTATAGGCCCGAAAGAACTGTTGTCCCACAAACCCCAGATCTGGTAGTCACCGACCCATGGTGCCCAGTGCCCGCCACCGAATCTATGAAGTCTCCACTCCGCGTGAAACGGATTGATGATTGTGCCGTGAATCGCTTGTACCTGTAAGGCGATGGCCGTCAGAAAATGGACAATGCCCATCAATACTGAAGTGCGGAGGAGGGCAATAACTTGGCTGGGAAACCCCCGGCTCAGTATTGCCAGAGCCGGAGCACGGAGCAAGGCCCGCAGCCCACGCAGTCGAACTGCTGGGATGAAGTAAGCCAGAGTCACCACAGGCAACCACCAGGCCCAATAGGCAACAATCAGTGCGAAGCCAAAAAGATAGATGGCAGTATAAACTTCCAGCCAACACGAGAGTCGCCAAAGCGTTCCGTGGGTTGAAAAGGCTCGACTGACTAGAAGCATAGCACCGTTCTGGAACGGATCCAAACGCTTCGCGGTCGAATGCAAACTTGCGCGCTGCCGTTTCCTTTGCAAGAGTTTCTGTTCGAGGGCCACGACCGCGCAGGTCACCAGGACCACGCAGCCAGGAACGACCCAGGTGCGCACATCTTGGAGGGCGGCGGAGATGGCGGAGATCAGGGTTGTCGTCGAGACTTGCGCTTTCAAGAAGTCCCTGGCGTCTGGGTTATCCAAATCTGCCCACAAAGGAATCCCTGAAGGAGATCGCCAGCCCACATAACCGCCGCAGCTCAACCAAAGCTGCACCGCAGGCTTCGAGAGCTGTCGGAATGACAGACAGTTGAAGTCTACAGCGTGCTCTTGCCAGGATGGCTGGAACCAGGGTGCGGTCACGTTGCAAGCCGCTGCGACGACCAGCTCGCATTGAAGTCTGTGGACAGTCGGCATAGAACCGTCCGGCCACACCTGCTTTACGACCTGTAAAAGATCATAGTCCCAGTCCCCCGTCCGGAATGGAACTGCATGCAGCGGAGTGTCGCCCTTGTTGTTGGTGACGCGCAGGGCAGCACGCACATCTGCGGGCCAGCTGTCAGTGAGGATTTTCCACGTTTCTGAGCGCCAGCAAGGTCCTGCAGCAAAGTGAAGCGGTGTGTCACCATCGACATCTGCGGCTCGTAGTCCTTCGGGCCATACCTCCAGCAGCACCAGTATCGTGTCTCTGCCGGATGGCCCACACGGCTCAACGCTCCGTTCAAAAGCCACATGCAGAGGTACTCGTCCATTAGAGTCAGCCACTTGGACACCTTCCGGCCAGGCTTCGACCAGCAAGCGCAAGACGTCAAACGAACCATATTCAACAGCCAGGTGCAGAGGCACTTGTCCATTGGAGTCAGCCACTTGGACACCTGACAGCAGCTCCGTCGCTCTGCTGGCATTGTTGCGGCGGACAGCTTCTACCAGCTCACTCTGCATGTGAGACTGTATGCTCTGCATGCAAAGTCGTAGCGGAGTGTCGCCCGCGTTGTTGGTGGCAAGCACACCTGCCGGCCACCTGTCTGTCAGCATTTCCCAAACTTCCAAGTTGACATGACATTCTCTTGAAGCATAGTGCAAGGGTGTGTCACCGTGGACATCTTGGGCGCTTACTCCTTCGGGCCATGCCTCCAGTAGCGGCTCGACATCATCTAAAGGTGAGTGGGTATACCACTTGCAATTAGAATTAAACATGCCTTCAAAAGCCGAATGCAGAGGTGTTTCGCCAAATTCGTCAGCCACTTGAACACCGTCCGGCCAGGCTTCGACCAGCAAGCGCAAGACGTCAAACGAGCAACAGGCGGAGGCTTCATGCAGCAACGTCTGGCCTTTAGCTGGAGAGAACTCGTCGACTGTGCGAGTACTGCTAACGTCGAACTGCCCGGCGGACAGCCTCTCCGCCACTCTGCTGGCATTGTTGCGGCGGACGGCTTCTACCAGCTCACTCTGCATGCAAAGTCGTTGCGGAGTGTTGCCCGCGTTGTTGGTGACATGAAGCACAACTGCCGGCCACCTGTCTGTCAGAGTTTCCCACACCTCCGAGTTGACCAGACATTTTCTTGCAGCATAGTGCAAGGGTGTGTCACCGTGGACATCCCGGGCCCTTAATCCTTCGGGCCATGTATCCAGTAAAATCTAGGAATTATATAAAGGTTCGGCATCATATACATGTGGGAGAAAATAGCGCGGGCAATAAAACACAGTATGCAGAGGTGTTCGGCCAAATTCGTCAGCCACTTGCACACCGTCCGGCCAAAAGGCAACCAGGTTGTGTAAAATGGCAATCGAGCACAAGACGGAGGCTCGATGCAGCAACGTCTGGCCTTCAGCAGTGCGAATGTTGCTAATGTCGACCTGCCTGTAATAGAGCAGATCAAACACTCTCCTGCCATCCTCCTGGAGGACGGCTTGGATTAACTCCTCCTGCGCGTCGGCCCAGACCACCGCGCAGAGCCATAGCGCGGCCACCGCGCAGAGCAATAGCCCAGCCACCGCGCAGAGCCACAGCACGGCCCAGCGGTTCATCTGGGTTTGCTTTGCAGATCCCAGCCGACGCCCGGACGTGGCTAAGGCAATGGCAATCATGGCGGTGTGCCCTGATCAAGCCGTTGGCTGCTCCTAGCTCCACATCTTGATATCAATATCGTGTTTCTGAGCAGGCTTACACATGCTCTACCGTGAAGCCCGTGTAGCTAGAAAACACAGTGGCAAGCTAAACAGATGAAAGGCCAAAGGGATCGCACATGTGTTGCTGAGCCCCGAGCCTGCCAGTCTGTCCTGACCCCAGCTTGCGGCCACGTGCCTCTATCTCAACATAGCGGATTGCAAGCTGTAGGGTTCTGGCTTGCAGGGTTCCAGGGCTGGTTGCGTCTCGGGACCTTCAGACACAGAGCTCCTCCTGGCAAAGGTGGAAAGCTGGAGCTGGCCTTCTGACTTCATGGGAATCTGAGTTCCACACCCAGTATGCCGCTCACCCGGATGCCTCAAAAGGTGATATATGCTGGGCTTGGACAGTGTGAAAGCAAGGATATCCCTCACTCCGATGCTCGAAGGCAGTTCTGTTGAAGTACTACCGTGCGATCCCAATGCGAACCATCAAAGATGATGTCAGCACGCTAGCAGAGTTTCAGTATCTCCGGTGCCTCGCCATCGTGGAGAGGATGCGTGCGGAATGGCACGGTCGCGAGATAGGAATTGTGGTCTCGGGCTCCAGCAATCTCTGCGCAGGATGCGGCGCTGCATTAAGGTTGCTGCCGGAGCTCGCTGCCTGTCGCCTCTTGCTTGAAATGGCTTCGGAAAAGCTCTTGCAGGAGCTGCCTTATCCTACGCAAGTCTGACCTGATCACAAGCACGGGCATCAACCAAGAGACCTGCTAGTTCTTTTCCGGGATCTCCGGGATCCTTTGGATCCACGGGCTCTGGAAAGCCAGTACTAAAGCATGGGACCCGCATGGAAAATGCCGGCCCGAGCAGCGGCAGTGCAAAGCCCAAATCCTGTGGTCTAACTCCGCGTTTGCGGTGAGGTCTCTCGCTCATTCAAACTGACCCTGGTGCTGCTTCGCCTTCTCGTAGTTCGTGATCTCCGGAACGTGCTCCTCATCCGGCTTGAGAGAGGGACGCGCTGACTATTCTGAGGCTTCAGGAACTGCAAGCCTGCCGGCCTAAGTCTAAGCCCACAGAGGTCCTTTCGTTGCTTCCTGTCTCGAACGATGCGCGCCAGTTCTTTCAAGGTGTGCGCCTGATTAAGAACTTTTGGCAGGACTTACTACACCTCGATTCCCTCTTTTGTGCTTCGTGCGGCCTCATCGAAGTTGGCTCGGATGTTTGCGTTCATGAGTGCGAAGGCTAAGCAGCGAATTTGCTTATAGAAGTCTCCGGGTCGTTCTCGTCCCTGGAGAACTCGAGCTTCGTCCAGTCTCTTCTTCCAGACGTCGAGGTCGGAGACGAGAGGCGACACGCGGAAGCTGCCTTGGTTGCGTCTTTCTGCACGCAGTTGCACGATCTCCTTGGACAACTTGCTCTGGCCAACCTGCGCGAAGGCCACTCTCATGTCGTCAGACCAAATGTCGTAATAGTCGCTGCTCTTCCGGCGCCACTCTTCGCCTGTTACGGTGCAGAATGCCGAGTGGGTAAGCTGCTTGCCACGGGCACCCCAGATAGGGCAGTCGTCAGGGATGTGGTGGGTGTTGAAGTTCAGGTAGTAGCAGTGCCTGGCACACTGGGCTGCCTGGTGTAGCCAGAAGTCCTGCACAAAGGCGAGCAGGGGACGCGGCCCGGCCACGCCGCCTCCTTTTCATCCTATTCTGTGTCGGGCTACGCCGCGGCTACGGGTTCCAAGCCTCGGGATGGGCGTTTACATACTATAAGGGATAACTATAATGTAACTATACTGTTACTAAAATGTCACCATATATAACTATAATATATAACTATAACATGACTATAATGGAACTCTAATAGAACTATAATAGAACTATAATATACCTATATGATAACTACAGAGGACATGTAAACGAAAATTCCTTACGAGCTCGGTCCTCGAGGACATTCTTGTTCCCGAGCGACAGCATGTTGTCCAGGAACACCAACGACGAGTTGTGTCCCTGTTGAGCTGCCTGTGGGATTACTGCAGCCCAGACGCCATTGCCTCCCTTCAGTACACTTTCCACACTGGCTGCATCCTGAGTGTTGCCGCTGCCACCATGTGCGTGAACCAAGATCCGGTAGTGCTCGGTCTCCGGAAAGAACTTCCGAAGCCACTCGACCAGCGTCCCATAGTCTATGTAGTTGGCGCATCCTCGGCCTTCCTCTGTCAAGATGGCCACGACTCTCCGCTGGAAAGCCTCGTCGGCCTTCCAAGTCCGGAAGGCTCTTTCGGCCTCGGTCTTTCTTTCAGGATTCATGGCGCCATCCGTCTTCAAGTCCAGGAACTCCATCAAGTCCACAAGGTTCAAGGAAATCTCGCCCATGCCGGCCTTGCCATGCTCCCCGCCCAACTCTTCGTCACTTCGCCAGGGATCTCCCGGAAGGCCCATGTCGGTGAAGATCCTGTCCAGATCTGCGACTGCCTCTAAGATGGACTGCACGAAATCTGCGGCGGCGAAACGCACACTGGCCTGTCGGAGGCTGTCAGGCTTGGCTGTGACACTCGAGGAACCTGAAACTAAATGCACACGAGCATGTTAGGACTCAGGACCGCTGTTGAGCCCCGAACACCCCAGATTCAAGTGACATGTACACAGCTCAGACAACTCTCGGAATTTGGGATTTGGAGTTCCGAGTCGGTGCCAGGGTGCCACTGTCTCCTGATAGACCTGAACCCTCTTCCTACGAGGGTTCAGGGTAAAGGTCATTCGTCCAGGGATCCAGGGTTGGAGGTGAATGGATTGAAGTAAAAAGCGACGGATGATGAGTGGTGAGTAGCACGATGCTCCCCGTTGCTTGTCGTCGCCCACTCCATCGCATTACAGTCTTGTACCCTCCCAGAAGCTCGTCATGCCTCATCTGTGGTGGCTGTACCACCAAGTCATGGTGTTCCTGAGCTTCTCGCCTCATTCCGAACTACATGCAGGTTCGCGGTGCCTTGCGAATGAAGTTCGAGCATTTGCGTTTTGTCAAACTCTTGGAAGCCTGGGTCTGCCACTCCTCAGGGCATTGTCTAGGACCGCGCTCCCATTCCTCCTTTCTAAGCTTGTACTTGCCACTACTATTGCTTCACGCACACCCGATAGTAGGATACATGGTCACTACGCCAGGAGAGCATGCTCTGGGCTCCGTAATTTTACTTGCACCGGGCTTGTCTCCGTGACCGCCTAATGGCTCATTGAATGTGGCTCAGGTGCCTATGTTATGTCATCAGCGGCGACCAGGCTGATCGGGTTGCAGGCGTCTGAGGCTTTGGGGCTGGGGCCTTGAGGCCAGGAATGCATGTCGAGCGTAAACCATCATCCGAGGAACCGTTCTCTTATCATCGACATGCCTTCCAACAATGCTTTTAAAAAGGATCTTTTAAGACATTGAGTTTGCTGGGGGCCACTTAGCGACATGGACCAGGGCTTCCCACACCTCACTCGTCTCGGGCTCGGTGCTCGCGCTCCGTTTGTCAGAACTCTTCTGCAAAGACTTCTTCGAGGCTTTCTTTGGGTTTCAAGTTTTCAAGGCTTTCGTCTCTACAACGGAGATCCCACGAGAGGGTGCTCCAGAAGCGAGGCCTTGAGGGTGAGGTCCAGGAAAGCGTTCGGGATTTTGAAGTCCTTGATGGCAGCCATGCCCGCCTTGCGGTCCTCTTCGCCTGGACCGAACATCGCCACCAGCCCCTCCATGCTGTCGTTACGGTCCCGCAGCTCTTCGAGGATCTGATTCTCGGGGGTGTAGGAGTCCTTGTAGTAGAGGCCGGTGATCGCAATGTCTTTGAAGAACATCTTTCGGATGATCTGCAGAGTCAGGTACTTCATGTACCCGGTGTGACCAAAGGGCGTGTTGGTCGCGGGTTCCCGAACGGTGTGGTCCATCACTATGGGCTTCAAGTTCTGCAGCCGATCGTCCTTTGACGACGGCGTCATCTCTTCGACACTGTCCAGTGGAGCTCTGAATTTGTCATCGTCGCCAAGATCCCGCACAAAATGCTCTGTTTGCCCGATGATCTCGTGCCAGAGCTTGTTGTCCGGCGCGCAGAGGAAGAGTTTGATGTCTTGAGGCTCCATAAGGCCGAAGACACTCTGCCGAAGCACCGCTTCGTCAGACTGCCGCGCCTCCCGGCAGAGATGCTCAAGTTGGTTGTCCACATCAGGGAACTGCTCCGGATTCTGAAGTTCCTTGAAGAGCGAGTCGCACCTCCGGCACACCTGCAGTCCTAAAGGCTTGGCTCCATCTCTACAGTCGAAGCCAGCCGTGGCATGCACCTGCCAGCGTCACGGAACAGAGCAGCACACCACGCCCGCAGCACGGCACAGCCTGGCGCTGAGGCGGCGAGAACTGCCCGGACCTCTGCCCCATGGCCTTCAGGAAGGGTTTGCTTACCCCTGGCGGCTCCATGCAGAATCATGCGCAAACAGCACGTCCAAGCTCAGCGGCCCATAGGGCTTGGAGTGCTGAATGGAGGACCTGCGAGAATTTGGGTGCACATGCGCCGCCGCTGCGTTGCCGCATCCCGCGGGCCTCAGGGTTGACCTTGTGCTGCATTGCATCCGTCATGGCAAGTCGCAGGATCGCCTCGTTGCCGGACACCATCGCGGCTTTCAGCACTTCTTCGGCCTTCGAAATCAGGAGAGCTTGACGGCCTGGGCCTAAGGTCGCCAACAACGTAGACAATCCCCCCAAGATCCCAAAACCTTCTCCTGCTCAGCGAGAGATGGATCTGCCGCTGGTTCAATGGGAGCCCGCTCCACGTCGTGGCCCTGGTGGCAGGCAGAACTCCGAGCTCCAATGATCGGAGGACGGTGCATCTTCTCGAAGGCTGGGAGCAGAGGAGGGACGAGGATGAGTCGGTTCGACGGCAGGAGTGCGATCAGCGGAAGTGCGATAGGCATTTTCAGGCCTCGCAAGGGCCAAACGAGATGTCCAACTTTTGAAGGTGAAGCCGAAAGCACTACAAGCTTGTGGGAGAGCAACAGCGTGCCGAGAAACCTCCATAATTTCAATCACAGGGGCAGCCCCAAACCTCGAGAGGGGTGCCGACGGTGCCGATAAGACCAATAGAACCCAATGGCTTCAGGTCTCCACGCTTCCAATCCCGCCAAACTCACAGCATTGCACTGGGACCTCTTGAGATTTGGGCCCGAAACCCCTTGGGACCTCGCGACACAGGTGCACATGATGCTTCGTGACCCTTGCTCCTGTCGGGGATGATTTTTATACACCCCACGTGCTGAATTCGAGCCCTACTGACACTTGATGGCATGACATCCCTTAGCCGGCCAGACCATCAGATTCAACTCAATTTCAACCAAACATGGCATACTTGGTGGCCGGCCCGGTCAGGTGACCTCGTGGCATCCTTTTGGATGCGCTGCATGGCCTGCATCGTTCGGAGGGGCTGCAAACAGGGATATGTGACCGGTGCATTCACCGTTACACATGCTGGAATGGCAAGCCACGTTATCCCGGTTGGCGCATGCCATTCCATGAAACTTACGAACTGACATGGAAACTACCGAAACTGGGGATCCCCACACAGTGTCCGGCGACGAGGACCTGGCACTCCATGCGTATGTGGTGCTCCGAAATTCTCAGGCACGCAGAAGAGAAGGGACTAGACTGTGGCAACCGCCCAGCGGGCAGCGCAACTGTCGACAGATGCCCCTTGTCAGTCTCCCGAGCATGCCCTCTGCAGCCAGGTTTACCGGGCTTGGTCATGAAGGCTTTTCTACTATCGACATGGCAAGCCGAAAGTGGCTTGCATCGGACGGACCCCTATATGCTGACGGATTTGGTCTCTTTGTGGACGTCCCGTCGAGGGTATGAGACTTGGGAACGCTCCTGGTCTTGGCTTCTGCTTACTGTGCTCCTTGACAATCGGAAACGCCGGAAGCCCCTGTGCAGGTCTTGACTAAATCACCCAGTAAAACTTGGCCCGGGGCCTTGTTGTTCACCTTCAGCTCTTTCGCATGGGCAAGGGCTGCCTGAAGTGCTTGCAGATCGCCGCCGCTCATCGCCTTCACGAGGCTCTGCTCCGCCTCCACCTGCAAGCGGAAGCACATGGCCAAAGGCGCGACTTCCAGCGCCGAGCCGAGGAAGCCACACGCTGCATGGCTTCGTAAGCTTCCACGAGTACCTGGCATCCAGTTCCGTCTTTCACCTTCCGAAGCCCCTCCGGAGCAGCTTCAGACCTCCGGCCTCGTCCGGCAGCCCCAGGCTCGCGCCTTCTTCGATGGCTTCTTCCAGGGCTGCCACGTCGCTTCCCTGCATCGCTCCTCGCAGCTTGGCTTCTGCCTGTCGCAGCAGGAGCAATCGGCTCCGAGCGCACTAAACAAAACCCACCCTTTCTTGGCCCGGCCGGTTCGAGGTTCCGCCTTTCACCTTGCGAAGCGCCTATAAGCGTCCGGCCTCGGTACGCAGCTTGGCCTGTCCGAACCGGATAAGATGAGCTCGACAGATTCCAAGCACAAGTTGAAATCTGGAAGCTAGTTACGTAGTGGTCTAGTCCGGCGGCCACGCCTGCTTCTCGAAGAAATACCCCTCAAAAAAAGTCGCAAAAGTATGGCAATGCGCCGGGCTGAACTCTGCAGGAGAGCCACCACATCGAAGAGCAAAAGATCAAAGCTGCAGATACTGCAGTAGCAACCGTTATGATGACGACGATGAGTGAACCGTGCATAGTCATAGAACCATCTTCGTAGCTTGGCAGAATGCTTGCCCTCATCGCCCCGCGTGTTCCCCCAATGCTGCTAAATATGTCGGAACACTAGCGGTCTCAGCTTTGCACTACGATACAGACTCGACATCTTGGGACTTCACGAGTGAAGCAAATAAAATCAATGGCCTGCCCCCACTCAGAGTCTTTCACAGAAGCTTGACGGATCTCGGCAGCATGCAGGTGCATGAAAGAGTTTATCAAGCCTCCAGATCTCGGCTCACCCGCAGGCTGAAAATCGAAGGCACGAGAGAGCCAGGAAATCAGAGGGCAGAGCACCAGTGCAGGAAGTTTTCGCAAAGGCCTAGGCCACTCTAGCACAAACACCATCACTGCAATTGTCCTCCCCAGCGAACTTCTCTGACACATTAGTGATAGTGACTGCGCATCTTCCCTGCCGAAGTAGTGTCGTGTCCTAGGCCCTCGGAAGAATCGGACGTGGGGCGCTGTTCGAGCTTCGGCTGAAACCTATCAGGGCATCCGACTGCAACAGCCAAAAGCCCATGCTCAGAATGTACACGGAGCTGGCTGAAGCTTCGTTGGCATCCCTCTGAGAGCAGAAAGGCCGCGCCGTCCGAAAGCCCTCTTGGCATGCATACAAGTTGACGATTACAGCAGAACACCAACGCACACTTCAGCGCACCATCAACAGCGAGAGCCTCGCGCCTTCATGTCCAGGGTCCAGAGATCGTTGAGACCTCAGGCAGGGCTGCTCGCAGAGCATCGCTACTCTGGCCCCACTGAGGATTGTCCCCACCAAGGCCGGTGCGGTCACATCCTCGGCTGAAGGTGGCAGGGCGCGGGCTTTCCGAAGAAAAGGACCCTGCGCGGCCACCCGGCCGCGCGGACTCAGGGGCGGACCGTCTGAACCCCCGAAGACGAGCATTCGCTGGAGCTCCGGAGCGTACACAGCGGTGTGGGAGCTGCGCTCCGGTGGAGTTCCCTTCAGCTCTGCCAATTTCCATTCCATGGCCTCGCAGCTTGGAGTATCACTCCTTCCTGCAATTCACTCGCTCACTTCCAACACATCCCGTGAGCGTTCCTCTCTGGAATCTTCCGACTGGCACTTACCGCCGGTCGCGCGCTGTGAGCGGCCACCTTGCGCGTGCTGCCCCGGCGCTCGGGACCGGCGATGCTTTTCTGGTCACTCGATTGCGGACAAGATCTCTTTTGGTGTTGCTGGAAGCCGCTTTCAGGGTCTACATGGTGGCCATCTGCGTAGTGCTTCGGGAGCTCTCCCAGCACTTGTCTCAATGACTACATCAACTGGCCATTCCCGGCTAAAGGATTCATCCGGTCTCACATCGGATAGCTGACTAGCTTTCGTCTGTGCCCTCTGCCTGCTGAAACAACATTTCGGGAGAGTGCAAAAGACGTCCACCGTTGCATGCGGGGAATGCGGAATGCACATGCTTTTCAGCGCAAGCTAAGGAAACTGGACATGGAAAGCTCCAGAAGTCTGGGTGCTGAGTCAACATCCGACTGGGGAAGAGGGGCGGGCGACACAAATGTCGAGCGACTTTGAGAGTCTTCACTGCTCTTCCTCCGCGGGCTCACCGGCGCTGCAGCCGACGGTTGTGAGCTGCTGCACACCGCAGGCAGCCAGCGGCAGAACACCAACGCACACTTCAGCGCACCATCAACAGCGAGAGTCGCGCCTTCATGTCCAGGATCCAGAGATCGTTGAGACCTCAGGCAGGGCTGCTCGCAGAGCATCGCTACTCTGGCCCCACTGAGGACGGTCCCCACCAAGGCCGGTGCGTTTATAAAGTCCTCGGCTGAAGGTGCCTGGGCGCGGGCTTTCCGAAGAAAAGGACCCTGCGCGGCCACCCGGCCGTGCGGACTCAGGGGCGGACCGTCTGAACCCCCGAAGACCAGCATTCGCTGGAGCTCCGGAGCGTACACAGCCCTGTGGGCGGCGCGCTTCGGTGGAGGAGTTCCCTTCACCTCTGCCAATTTCCATTCCATGGCCTCGCAGCTTGGAGTATCACTCCTTCCTGCAATTCACTCGCTCACTTCCAACACATCCCGTGAGTGTTCCTCTCTGGAATCTTCCGACTGGCACTTACCGCCGGTCGCGCGCTGCGAGCGGCCACCTTGCGCGTGCTGCCCCGGCGCTCGGGACCGGCGATGCTTTTCTGGTCACTCGATTGCGGACAAGATCTCTTTTGGCGTTGCTGGAAAAGCCGCTTTCAGGGTCTACATGGTGGCCATCTGCGTGGTTTCGAGAGCTCTCCGAGCGCTTGTCTCAGTGACTACATCAACTGGCCATTCTCGGCAAAGGATTCATCCGGTCTCACAGTCTCACATCGGATAGCTGACTAGCTTTCGTCTGTGCCCTCTGCCTGCTGAAACAACATTTCGGGAGAGTGCAAAAGACGTCCACCGTTGCATGCGGGGAATGCGGAATGCACATGCTTCTCAGCGCAAGCTAAGGAACCTGGATATGGAAAGCTCCAGAAGTCTGGGTGCTGAGTCAACATCCGACTGCCCGACATGGGTTACAGTTTCAGTGTCAGCCTCAGTTTGGGATCTTGGCACGGGGGGAAGAGGGGCGGGCGACACAAATGTCGAGCGTCTTTGAGAATCTTCAGCGCTCTTTCTCCGCGGGCTCACCGGCGCTGCAGCCGACTGTTGTGCTGCTGCACACCGCAGGCAGCCAGCGGCAGAACACCAACGCACACTTCAGCGCACCATCAACAGCGAGAGCCTCGCGCCTTCATGTCCAGGATCCAGAGATCGTTGAGATCTCAGGCAGGGCTGCTCGCAAAGCATCGCTACTCTGGCCCCACTGAGGACGGTCCCCACCAAGGCCGGTGCATTTGGAAGATCCTCGGCTGAAGGTGGCAGGGCGCGGGCTTTCCGAAGAAAAGGACCCCGCGCGGCCACCCGGCCGTGCGGACTCAGGGGCGGACCGTCAATTCCCCCGAAGACGAGCATTTGCTGGAGCTCCGGAGCGTACACAGCGGTGTGGGCGCTGCGCTCCGGTGGAGGAGTTCCCCTCAGCTCTGCCAATTTCCATTCCATGGCCTCGCAGCTTGGAGTTTCACTCCTTCCTGCAATTCACTCGCTCACTTCCAACACATCCCGTGAGCGTTCCTCTCTGGAATCTTCCGACTGGCACTTACCGCCGGTCGCGCGCTGTGAGCGGCCACCTTGCGCGTGCTGCCCCGGCGCTCGGGACCGGCGATGCTTTTCTGGTCACTCGATTGCGGACAAGATCTCTTTTGGTGTTGCTGGAAGCCGCTTTCAGGGTCTACATGGTGGCCATCTGCGTAGTGCTTCGGGAGCTCTCCCAGCACTTGTCTCAGTGACTACATCAACTGGCCATTCTCGGCAAAGGATTCATCCGGTCTCACATTGAAAAGCTGACTAGCTTTCGTCTGTGCCCTCTGCGTGCTGAAACAACATTTCGGGAGAGTGCAAAAGACGTCCACCGTTGCATGCGGGGAATGCGGAATGCACATGCTTCTCAGTGCAAGCTAAGGAACCTGGACATGGAAAGCTCCAGAAGTCTGGGTGCTGAGTCAACATCCGACTGCCCGACATGGGTTACAATTTCAGTGTCAGCCTCAGTTTGGGATCTTGGCACGGGGGGAAGAGGGGCGGGCGACACAAATGTCGAGCGACTTTGAGAGTCTTCACTGCTCTTCCTCCGCGGGCTCACCGGCGCTGCAGCCGACTGTTGTGCTGCTGCACACCGCAGGCAGCCAGCGGCAGAACACCAACGCACACTTCAGCGCACCATCAACAGCGAGAGCCTCGCGCCTTCATGTCCAGGATCCAGAGATCGTTGAGACCTCAGGCAGGGCTGCTCGTAAAGCATCGCTACTCTGGCCCCACTGAGGACGGTCCCCACCAAGGCCGGTGCGTTTGGAAGATCCTCGGCTGAAGGTGGCAGGGCGCGGGCTTTCCGAAGAAAAGGACCCTGCGCGGCCACCCGGCCGTGCGGACTCAGGGGCGGACCGTCTGAACCCCCGAAGACCAGCATTTGCTGGAGCTCCGGAGCGTACACAGCGGTGTGGGAAAAGCGCTCCGGTGGAGGAGTTCCCTTCACCTCTGCCGGTTTCCATTCCATGGCCTCGCAGCTTGGAGTATCACTCTTTCCGCACTTCACTCGCTCACTTCCAACACATCCCGTGAGTGTTCCTCTCTGGAATCTTCCGACGGGCACTCATAATGCCTGTGGTGTTCTGTGAGTGGCCACGTTGCACGTGCTGCCCCGGCGCTCGGGACCGGCGATGCATTTTTAGTCACCGGAATGCGGACAAGATCTCTTCTGGCGTTGCTGGAAGCCGCTTTCAGGGTCTACATGGTGGCCATCTGCGTAGTGCTTCGGGAGCTCTCCCAGCACTTGTCTCAGTGACTACATCAACTGGCCATTCTCGGCAAAGGATTCATCCGGTCTCACATTGAAAAGCTGACTAGCTTTCGTCTGTGCCCTCTGCCTGCTGAAACAACATTTCGGGAGAGTGCAAAAGACGTCCACCGTTGCATGCGGGGAATGCGGAATGCACATGCTTCTCAGCGCAAGCTAAGGAACCTGGATATGGAAAGCTCCAGAAGTCTGGGTGCTGAGTCAACATCCGACTGCCCGACATGGGTTACAGTTTCAGTGTCAGCCTCAGTTTGGGATCTTGGCACGGGGGGAAGAGGGGCAGACGACACAAATGTCGAGCGTCTTTGAGAATCTTCAGCGCTCTTCCTCCGCGGGCTCACCGGCGCTGCAGCCGACTGTTGTGCTGCTGCACACCGCAGGCAGCCAGCGGCAGAACACCAGCGCACACTTCAGCGCACCATCAACAGCGAGAGCCTCGCGCCTTCATGTCCAGGATCCAGAGATCGTTGAGACCTCAGGCAGGGCTGCTCGTAAAGCATCGCTACTCTGGCCCCACTGAGGACGGTCCCCACCAAGGCCGGTGCGTTTGTCTCTTCCTCGGCTGAAGGTGGCAGGGCGCGGGCTTTCCGAAGAAAAGGACCCTGCGCGGCCACCCGGCCGCGCGGACTCAGGGGCGGACCGTCTGAACCCCCGAAGACGAGCATTTGCTGGAGCTCCGGAGCGTACACAGCGGTGTGGGATTGGCGCTTCGGTGGAGGAGTTCCCTTCACCTCTGCCGCTTTCCATTCCATGGCCTCGCAGCTTGGAGTATCACTCCTTCCTGCAATTCACTCGCTCACTTCCAACACATCCCGTGAGTGTTCCTCTCTGGAATCTTCCGACGGGCACTTATAATGCGACAAGATCTCTTCTGGCGTTGCTGGAAAAGCCGCTTTCAGGGTCTACATGATGGCCATCTGCGGGGTTTCGGGAGCTCTCCGAGCGCTTGTCTCAGTGACTACATCAACTGGCCATTCTCGGCAAAGGATTCATCCGGTCTCACATCGGAAAAACTGACTAGCTTTGGTCTGTGCCCTCTGCCTGCTGAAACAACATTTCGGGAGAGTGCAAAAGACGTCCACCGTTGCATGCGGGGAATGCGGAATGCACATGCTTCTCAGCGCAAGCTAAGGAACCTGGATATGGAAAGCTCCAGAAGTCTGGGTGCTGAGTCAACATCCGACTGCCCGACATGGGTTACAGTTTCAGTGTCAGCCTCAGTTTGGGATCTTGGCACGGGGGGAAGAGGGGCAGACGACACAAATGTCGAGCGTCTTTGAGAATCTTCAGCGCTCTTCCTCCGCGGGCTCACCGGCGCTGCAGCCGACTGTTGTGCTGCTGCACACCGCAGGCAGCCAGCGGCAGAACACCAGCGCACACTTCAGCGCACCATCAACAGCGAGAGCCTCGCGCCTTCATGTCCAGGATCCAGAGATCGTTGAGACCTCAGGCAGGGCTGCTCGTAAAGCATCGCTACTCTGGCCCCACTGAGGACGGTCCCCACCAAGGCCGGTGCGTTTGGAAGATCCTCGGCTGAAGGTGGCAGGGCGCGGGCTTTCCGAAGAAAAGGACCCTGCGCGGCCACCCGGCCGCGCGGACTCAGGGGCGGACTGTCCCACCCCCCGAAGACGAGCATTTGCTGGAGCTCCGGAGCGTACACAGCGGTGTGGTCGCGGCGCTCCGGTGGAGGAGTTCCCTTCAGCTCTGCCAATTTCCATTCCATGGCCTCGCAGCTTGGAGTATCACTCCTTCCGCACTTCACTCGCTCACTTCCAACACATCCCGTGAGTGTTCCTCACTTCGAACTGGGGCTCAAGACGAATCCTCAGAAGTGTGGTCCTCCTTGTCTGAGCCGGTGTGAAAAACTTAACCATCAAGCCGGAAACGTCTGCGTCAGCACTTGCTGTTTGCAGGGGGATGCTGGCTGCAGCTTGGTTAAAATCCGTCTGAGGACACTAGGGGCACGAGTCCTACATGGGGTCACCTGGAAAAGTCCGACCTGCATTTCCGACAAAGTCGCGAAACGCGGCATTGCTCAGGGTTGTACTCCGCAGGGTGCGTGCCGTGATGATCCAAACTTATCTAGACCTGACCAAGCGTGTCAAACCACCGCCTCCAAGACCTCTCCCTCTCTCTTTCTCTCCTTTCCCCAAATCGGGGCGGTCGGAGTCCGACGCTTCGACCCTGGCAACGACAGGCAAGCCTACTGAAGATCGTTTCTGCGGCACGGTTAAACTCTCCAGTGCACAAGCCGCAGAGCCGACTTGTAGCAGGGCAACCGGATAGAACGGGAGTGGCAAAGATCAGAGCTGCAGAAGCAATCATCATGATGATAACGACGATGGAACCATGCCTAGCCATAGAACTCGCACTCTCTGTCTCGCTCTCGTCCGCCCTGCACATCCTATGCCTTCGCAGACACACTGCTGCAGTAGAGAGTACTTTACAGTGCCCTCTTGGATCGGCACAGCAGCAGCAGCAGCAGCTTCCGCGGAGGGCACACGAGTGGCTACAATAATCACCTTGAGCCAGCCCTGGGCGGGGTGTCAAGAAACGTGAGAGGGAGAGCTTCTGGCTCTGCTGACAGAAGAAACGCAGAACTCTGCATCACGGGCTCATGCACTCGGCGCAAACATGGAGTGGTGCAGTGTTTCACCGCCGTGGTTTGCCGAAGCTTCGGGCTGGGCTGCAATCACGGTGGACCCGTTTCGTGAGCCCTTGGTGCCTGAAGTGATCGTCGCCTAAAGCTTCCACGCTGCCTGCATCGGATGCCTTCGACCTCTGAGTGGCCAGCCTTCGTCTCACGCTTCTTTGGGGCCTCGGGGAGAGATGATGGACCATATCTTATTCTTATGTTATATTACAAAAAAATATGTAAGTTATAGATTATATGTTGCAAAGCTCCTTAGCATGTGCGCCTTCCCAGGCCCATGAGAGGCTTCCTCCCCCGAAAGGGAGCGGAACTGGAACCCTGAACCCTAAGCCCTAAAGCCCCTAAAGGAAACCTAAACCCTTAAGTTCCTGAAGTAATCCTAAACCGACCCCAAACCCTAGTGTTCCTAAAGTCTCTGCCCCGTCCGCTTGAGCCCCATGCAACCCTAAACCCTAAACCAAAGCCTAAACCCTAAACCTTAAACCCCAATAACCCCAAGCCCTAAACCCTAAACCGTCTTGAGCCCCTGGCCTTCGGCCTCTGCCGCGGACGCGCGGGGACCGGAGGCCTGGGAGCGAGCTGCGGTCCATGATGGGGAAGAGTTGGGTTTAGGATGTCAAGGGTTTATGGTTTGGGATTTAGGGTTTGGGGTTCAGGGTTTGGGGTTTAGGGTTTGGGGTTTAGGATGTTAACGGTTTAGGATGTTAAGGGTTTAGGGTCTAAGGGTTGGGAAGCTCAGTGGCAGCGGGCCTGAGGCCGCACACCCTCGCCCTGGCCAAGACTCTGCCGCCCGGGAACTCTGCACAAGGAATGCTTGGGTCCAATAAGGCTGATTTAAGGCTTTAAGGCTGAGCTTCGGCCCGAAGGACCCACTGTGAAGATGTCCCGGTACAGAGGCTGGCGTCCTTGTCACGTACGATTCGGGCTCCCGTGTCGATCAACCCGCAACCGCACAACGGAATTATGGAAACGAGACATCATGCAAGCTCCCACTCTGAAGGTTCATGTTAAGGATGGAGGTGGCGATTCAAACTGCCTGGATGCTAAAACTGAATTGATGCCTTGGTCGTGGTCTGTCACCTGCGGATGTGAAGGGGCCTTCTGAAGGCCGGAGTCCCGGAGTCCCCTCATTTTGAATCAGGAGCTGGTGCTCTCTAGGTAGGGTTCAGGGTTGAAGATTAAGAAGCCGTAGAAACAAACGGCCCACAAAAAGAAGCCATGAGGGAATTTCCGCCTTCTCCTTCGAAGAAGGTCCGGAGCCTCTGATGCCCGGCATGAGGCCCCCAGGCTGCAGCAGATGCGCCGAGCTGCAGATGTAGGGTTGAGGCTAAGGGTTTATTGGGTTTAAGGTTGAAGGTTTAGGCTTTGGGTCTGGGGTTTCGGATTTAGGCTTCAGAGGTTGCTAGCTTAGGGCAGGTTGAGGCTTCTGGGAGTGAAGAGTTGGGCTCAAACTCAGAATCAACCGCAAGGGCTGCTTGAGCCAAGGGCGATGCGATCGCGTCACGTCGCCACACGGCGACACAGGATCCCACAGCTTTCACAGCTTTTTCCGAGGGGACAAATCTGAGCAGACAAGTTATCAAGCTGGAAATCTGCACCCGACCCAACACCTCAAAACCTGAAGAAATCCTGAAGAAGCCGTGGTTCGGCAACCAAACCGTCTGTTCAGCACCGCAGGGTTCGATGCTCAGTCGAGCTTTTTCCAACACCAGTTTTCCAAACTGCAGTGCGGTTGCGCCACCTGTGGCCCTCTTTCAAGCCGTCAGACCACAGCCCCCTAAACACCCGAGCAAACCTTCCTTATCTTCCATGCTGCTTCGAACACACTTTTTTTTGGGGGGGTGTGGGTTTAGGTTTCAGAGCTTAGGGCTTGGAGTTTAAGGCGCAGGGATTCAGGATGAGGGTTCAGGGATGTTCAAGGTGTAGGGCCCTGACATGGTAGAATCCCTTTGCAACTGCCTTCTCCAGCCCTCGGCCAAGCCCATTAAACCCTAAATCTTAAAACCCCACCTTGGCCGCCTTAGCCCTTCTCAGAATCTCCAGAGCC